ATGACCAGGGTCCGTGGAGTGTACGAATCCAGGCCATATGTAACAGCTCCCAGATGGTCGGCTTTGTCCTGATTGTCTTTCATAAGGCTTGTATCCCGCCTGGTTGCCTGGTAACTATTGCAGATACTGTGTGAATCTGGGAAGCCCGAGAATCTGTTGGCATGTGTCTTGAAGAACATGTGCAGGATCCGTGTGGTGACCGGGAGCATTTGGTTACAGTCACTGTCTTTGAAGAGTTTGTTTGGTTAACCTTATGATGACTGGGAAGACCTTTTGTGATCAGATGGCTTGGTGCCTGTCTGGTCTGTGTGTGAAGAAAGCAGTGCTCTGGTGGGAGGGGTGGGAGGATGGTTTTCATTGCAACAGTCCTGACCACCCTGCGATAACTGCCGGCCGTTGTTCTTGAGAAGTTAAAGCTAGCTGGCTTCTACCTACGCAGCCAGCAGGTGACAAAACGGGGTGGTCCCTCAGATGGCTGAATGGCCTTGGTGGTGGACAGGTTAGGCTGGTCTCGAGTCTGGCTCCCATGTGGCTTCTTGGCCATGGGATTTCTTCTTAGCCTGGTCTAGTTGGTGTTGTCTTAGCTGCTCCAACACAGTGGAAATGGCTGCCAGGCCAGAATCAACAGCTGTTCTGCAAGGTCAAATAAAGAGCCAGGAGTCATCACAGATGAGGAAGGAACCTTAGGTGTTCCAAGGTTAGTGGGTGTTTCAGCTTGAGTAGCAGTTGAGTTGTTCCTCCTAGCCTTCTTGATGGATTCTAGGAATTTGTTGAAAGCTGACATCGACAAGGAGGTGCACAACTCAGAATTAGTTTTTTCTGTGCTGGAGTCATCTCTGCATTTCCAGCAAGCTTGATGAGGGTCTCCCGAAATCATGATCCTTCCACAATCTGTGTGAGATCGGGTATGCCATTTTGGACTGGCACCAACACCACTAATATGTGAGTATCTTTTAATACGACCCCTTACTGGACGGATTTTTTTAAAAAGTGAACAAAACAACTAATAACTGAAGCTAACTAGTATCACTACACAACCTCACAACTGTACAGTGAAAAGCTAATGTTGATTCTAGCACAAAGACAGAAGTGAGGAATTTCCCACTTAGCAAGCTTAAAGGGCAAGTACACACGGAAATGAACCTAATTTTCTTGTACTTTTTCCACAATAAAAGTGTTAACCTAGAAGTGTCATAGACAAAAATATAAAAATATCACAATTAATTAACGTATGTTTTGCATTAAAACGATTTATATTTTTCACATTTACTAAGTGTTCTATTTCCATAACAAAAACACCATGGCTTATGCCCCTTGCAATATGACGTCATTGGTGCCAATTGATAAACATTATGACGTCATCATGCTTTGTTAGAGCCGCTTCACGTGGTGTAGGTACAGGTGTGTGATTCTAGCGTCTCAGATGCCAGCCAGCATAGTGTTATGCTGAGTCACCACTGCGCCGGAGTGTGTCATAGGCCATGTTGTTTTACCGAAAACTTGTACTTGATATCTTTTGCGTTCAGAATAGACAGGGACCCAGTTGAATTGGCACCAATTACGTCATAATCTAAGGGGGATAACTCAGGCCTGTTTAGCTCGAAAAACGAAGGCCTCATAACGGCATATCATTTTCACACTATTGTGAGCTTCCTACTTTCACTGTGAAAAAAATGAGTGTATATGTTCCAAAACAGATACTTACTATTTCCAAAATTGCGTTTTGTTTAGAAAAAGAAAGAAAGTGATTTTTGCGTGTACACTTCCCCTTTAAGAGCTTAATGCTGACTGGTGGTACTATTGTGGTGACAACTGGTTGTGTGTGGTTGACAGTGAAGTGGACTTCTGTTGAAAAATCTGAAGAGTAGTTTTGGTGTGATTGCAGCCAAAATACAGGAATTTGGCTATGATGTAATAGAAGTAGAGTAGACTAGTTTTTAGACTGTTTCCTGCATGACTTTTCATTAGATAACTGATAGTGAAGAGGATGTCTGATGAAAAACCCGAATATTTTTAGGGTGTGAGAGAACCGCCATATCCGAACTTATGGGCATGATTTAATAGAGGCAAAGTATTCGAAGGATTGGTGAAAGAGTTCATTTCCCCACCTTTCCCTGAATACCCCAAAACTTCCCGCCAGAAACATGTTCATGAACCATTTGGACTTCACCAAATCAGGTGCAAGATGACCTCAGTAATTTCTATCCATATTCAACTTTGATGCAGTACAACAAAAGAAAGTTTTATGATCTTCTGATCTTTCGAACATGCTCAATTCATAACAGCTTTAAAACAGAGCTTCAAGCTACATAAATGATAAAGCTGTACACACTTCCCAGAAGAGAGACCGCCTCCGTGGTCTAGTGGTAGAGATTCAATCCCCGGCCGTGTCAACCCAAAAGACATTAAAAAGATGGTACTTGTTGTTACCCTGTCTGGTGCTCGGCATTAAGGGGCTTAAACAAGGACAGGTCAGCTCGGAGTCAGTATACTGTGTCTGAGTTGGGTATTCAGGTTAAATTGCGGCATGGTATCTCAGTGGGCTAGCACTGAAAAGTGACATCAGTCTGGACTAGTACAAGCAGCCACACACAAGCACATCGCTACATAAGTGCAATGATCTTGAATCTGACGTCAAACCCCATCTCACCACAATTCCCAGAAGAGGATCCAGGATGTCACGAGATGACCACAAACACATGATGGAGGGACTAAAACAGGTTTAAATGTAAAGTGTGCAACCCTTAAAAACAATCTCCTGAAACACTTCTTGATGTGAGTGAGGGAATATGGCTTTATGCTGCTTTTAGCAATATTCCAGGAATATCACAGAAATGAACAGTTTAGGAAATACATTTCCAAAATTTGTATTGTGTATAAAAAACAACTACCCTTATAAGAAGCACATACCCAATGCAAAGCAGCCATCATACAGGTCTATTAACTTTGACAGTCAATTTCAGCCATTTTCTGCCAGACATTTCAGTTTCAAACATATAGGGTGGTGTTAGGTATTGTGTAGAGAGGGCTGCTTGATGTGTTGTGTAGAGAGGGCTGCTGGATGTATTGTGTAGAGAGGGCTGCTGGATGTATTGTGTAGAGAGGGCTGCTGGATGTATTGTGTAGAGAGGGCTGCTGGATGTGTTTGCTGAAATGTGACAGCAATTAGTTTTCTCAATATATGAACAGATGATCTCAATGTGTAGATACTTTCTGTGATTGGAATTTCAGGAATGTTTTGTTTTGGAGTAAAGGTCACATCAGGAAACATGACTAAAACACCATGAAAGTTTGGTTTTATGCATGACAGAGAGTCAAAAAGTTCTTCAATTAGTGAAGATGAGCTACAAATAACTAAATCATGTCATGTGTCATAGTTGTATTAGATAGCAAGGACACTTTAAATGCCATTTCATTCACAAAATGATTTGTGAACAGTTTAATTGTGAAAGTATGGAGACAACACTATATATCAAGAAACATAAGCAGCTAGAATTTTTTTAAAGTTCATGGTCAAAAGTGTTGACAATAGTTTGATGTCATAGGTTGCAGGTCATTGTTCAGTGTGTGATCCCATAAGTAATTATTGCTATTAATCATTTATGCCCTGTGTCATGTCAAATGTCATTCACATATCTGGAATGTTTTAATACTGGGCCACAAACATGTGACAATGACTTTTCACTTGAGTCAAACAAAATATATCCAATGGGAGAACTTATTCAACAATTAAACCACAAGTTCTTGGGGTCATAAGTTGTCTTAATTCAGAAGTAGTGACCTTCACATTAAACACCAGCCAAACATTTGCTAGAAAGATCATCTGAACATATATGGAGCCTGTTTAAAAAATAAATGGTAAAAGTATGCAGTGGACATGTGGTTGACAAATTTGGATATTTAACTGATTTTAAAGACCCCATTTTCTGTTTTTGATCAGTTCATTACAATGCTGTTATACATGTATTACATTGGTGACCCAGAACAACCAAGACCTTGTGCCATGTTAATTGAATGTGGCATGTGAATTCAACAATTTACTATTTTCCCTCTGAATTTGTTCATAGTCATTTGATTATCCTCAGATACACCTTTCTGCAGGATGTGTAAACATTGTCTTGTTGTGTGGCAGTGTTGTATATGTGTATTTTCTGTATTTTATATATTTGTATATATATAATGTTTTGTTATGAAATGATGTTTTAACCTTTTATTGTGTTGCATTAAATTTGATAATGAGTGAGTGAGTGAGTGAGTGAGTATGGTTTTACGCCGCTTTTAGCAATATTCCAGCAATATCACGGCGGGGGACACCAGAAATGGGCTTCACACATTGTACCCATGTCGGGAATCGAACCCGGGTCTTCGGCGTGACGAGCGAACGCTTTAACCACTAGGCTACCCGACCGCCCCTTAAATTTGATAAACCTTTATAGCTGTTGTATTCTACGGTCGCTGCAGCAGCATAATGACTTGATCTCTGCCTGGAGTTTTCTTTTATTTAACTTCTACTGCTTGTGTGGTAGGGTAGGTAGCTTGGGTCGGTCCTTTGTCTAACCTCAGCTTACGCCTGATTGGCATTGTTTAAAATACTAACACCCAGCATGTAACCAGCACACCAGCCACTACACCTTAACCATGCTCACAAATAACATTTGCTTTGTGTAGTATTTTCACCTGAGATCGTTCTAACAGATGCAGGCATCATAATCCTGTCAGTTTGTGTTTGGGGAACGCAATTCGCGCACCAGTTTCACCTACAGGGGCGTTTGTTCTGACCGACAAATCCTCTTGACATAGAACGACCAGTGTTTATGAATACCCTGGTTACATACAAAAGAGGCATTATCAGTGTGGCACATATCAGGGCTTTACCATGCACATCATCTTGCCTCCTATGAGATACAAATGTAGACCCCAGAACCCTATGCCTAGGACAAGCAGCTGGACCCAAGTAAATCCCTACATATTCAGCAGGTATCTGGGATATTTTGCACTACCTTCTGTCTCTTCAGTATATCTATAAGTTTGAGTTGCTTCTTGAAGCCTGCCATCAGTTCACTCTTCTGTTTCTCCAGCTTCTTGTTGTCAGCCAAAAGGTGCTCAACACGCTTCTTGTCACTGTCACTAGCATCCTGACAAGAAACAACCCAACAAAACATGATGAAAAATATACAACCAAGGTGATGGATGTGTCTCATCTTAACAAGAGGTGAGGTGAAATTGGGTTTAACGTCGCGTCCAAGATTATTGCACTTATATAGCAACGTGTGTGTGTGTGTGTGTGTGTGTGTGTGTGATGTTACTGAAACATGTAGATCAATAATTTGTGTGATGTGGTTATTTTCTGAATTTATATACAATTATATGTGCTACTGTTCACTGGATATATATAGCCTGAATCAAACCTGTGTCATTTCGGGGGAGTAAGATGACTAAAATAACTGATCTATAACTGAAAAAGAAACTACAAAAATCAGAACAATTTGAGCAAACCATAGGCTCATCATTGTTTCATGTTCAGACTAAAGGAAGTGGCTCAGAGACGCCACACAGAGATTTGTTAACATGAATAATATATAAAGGTTGCTTGCAAACATGTTGCGCAAAAATGGTGAACAAACAATAGACATCCCGGGGACTGAGCATGTTCCTGGGAAGGCAAGAGGAAGTTATAGTTATAATATGTTTTAATACATCATTTCGTTTTTATTGACACATGTATCCTAATGAAATTGTCAATTTTGAAAATTCTAGTCCTCCTCCAGTTTTGTCTTTGATCCATTTTACAAGGTTGTTCCAGGCCTGTTTTACAATTTCACACTAAGGTGCACTAAGGTTTGTTTTTCTCGTTTACAAAAATTTCAAAGAAATGATTCTTTACAGTAACTCATTTGTTGGTATAATTCTGTGAGTAATACTGTATTGGTACCATTTTTGTTTCAAGGACACATTATATCTGTGGGGGATATGATTAATCATTTGCCAATCTTTTTCGGTCATGTTAAGGCCAAGATCTAGTTCCAATCTTTGAATGTATTTTTTGGATATCATGTTGTTGGAACCCTTATTTAATATATAGTAAAATTTTCTACATCTCCCCCTCTCCACTAAGTTTTCAAGGTAATATGGTATTAAGGGCAGATGTGAGTGAGTTCGTGAATATGGTTTTACGCTGCTTTTAGCAATATTCCAGCAATATCACGGGGGACACCAGAAATGGGCTTCACACATTGAACCCATGTCGGGAATCGAGCCCGGATCTTCGGCGTGACGAGTGAACGCTTTAACCACTAGGCTACCCGACCGCCCTAAGGGCAGATGTAACTTAGATGTTAGGGATATATTCTTACGCTTGAGATATTGTTTTATTGCTTGGATAAGACTAGAATATTCCAGAAAATGTGTTTTACAGTCGTATATATGTTTTAGGTCTAAAAGATCTAGAAAATTTCCACTCTCATCTATCAAATCATTTATAAGATTAATACCTTTTCCTGCGTAATGTTTATAATATACTGGAGTGTTGCCGATTCTTATATTCGTATTTTGCCATAAAGGTTGTGATAAGATATCTTTTTCCTTTTTTTTCTCATAAGCTTCCCAATGCACACAGAACATCTTTCCAGAATGCATTGGTCCTATCATTAATAACCTTTTCCCAAATATAGAATTGTCATTTGTGCCTACATGTGACCGACTTGGTACAAGGAAACCCTTTGAGGAAATTGAACATGGACGTTTGTGCAGTGTAACTTGGAGCCCGCCATTGCTGCTTGGCAGCTATATTTCCTACTGTTTTTATGTTATTTATTTCTTCCAGTTCAGTATTTGCCTCTTAAAGTTTCTTTAGTCTTTCATTTTTATGTTCTATATCAGTGGAGGTATCTAAATTGATTTGCAATTCTTCTATGTTTTTGTAAGTCGTTTTCTTTCTATTCTCGCTTTCGTTTCCTTTTAGAGGAGTATTTTAAAGTTTGACCTCTTATCATCAACATTAGAGTTTTGAAAAAAAGTTAGGAATCTATATTAAATCTGTCATTTCCTTATTCATCAACACCTGTTTTATATTGTTTTATTGTATTTTTAATTACTTCTTTAGTTTTTCAACAAAAGTTTTGTCATTTCATAGGGAATGATTAAACTTCTAATAGCCTCTTCCTCTCTCGATACTACTTAGTTTTAACAAAATCCAATGTAAAGAGTGATCTGATCTGCAAGCAGGGTCTATACCAACTTTACCTACAGATTTTTCAAGGTCTCTTGACAACAAGAAGTAATCTAATCTAGCTTGTTTTATGGTTTTGGTTTATCTGTTTGTTGTTGTTGATATAAGTGTTTGCGAGGTCGCCTTCTGCCTCAGCAATTTCGGGTGACCTGTTCCTGGGGCCAATGTATTTTTTCACATATTTCAGTACTGGTAAGATTTCTGTTTTTGTATTGATAAGATTTCATTTTTTATCTTTGGCTGCTCTGTTTATGTACATTCAAGTTGCTGTCCATCTCTCAGAAATAGAGTTAGTTTGGCCTTCACTATTGCATCTCTTGGCTTTAGGAGATCTACGACAGATAGCAGATCTAACTGCAATTCTTGTTTTTAACTGAGCCAGGGCTGGGGTATGGTCTTGACATTCCAGTAACATGTGAGCAATGGATTCAGGCTGATTGCAAGATGGGCATGCCTTGTCATTGTGCTTCTTGTGACCAAGTCTAAGGCATGAGATGGCGACTTCAACTTTCCTTTTATTTGAGTATAAGCATGGCTTTGGTGGATCTGGGGTTGAATTTTGTACAGCCATCTGCCGATCTTACTTGCGCCCCTTTGGGCTATGAAGCTTTTGATTTTTCTTTTTATCTCTAGTTTACTGAAGGGAGTATGCTCTATCTCCACTTTGTCTAGAGCTAGCTTCGCCAGTGTGTCTGCTTTTCCCTTTCCATGAACATCTATGTGTGACAGGATCCAACACATCTACACTTGTTGCCCTTGGTCCGATAGTTTTGTATATTTGTATAAAATTGTATTGACTGAGTTTGGTCTCGAGTTTGAGTTTCTGCCACTGATAGCTTGTGGTGCACTTAATGAGTCTGATAGGATGACTGCCTTTTTTCCTGGTAGTTCGGTATGACTGACTGACTGATCGTAAGGCAGGTGGACCGTGTGTGCTTGGGGCTTGGAGCTGTAGATATGGATCCTGTAGCAGCAGGATTCTTGGATCCATTAGTGTATATATATATGGGCCCAGCTGTCCCAGGTAGTTTGAATTATAGCTACAGTTTGTAGTAGGGTCGGGTTTTCTTTTTCAGTGACTTTTGATGTTAAAGCAGTGTAAACTTTGGGAGTTCTTAAAGTCCAGGGAGGGTATAATAACCCTTTGTAGTGACTTTCTGGTGGCTGAATGTCATCACAATTGTGACATCGAATGAGGTCAAGTACTAATATCCCAGATGGCTTTAGTGAGTGATTTTGTCTGAGCTAGGGCTTCTTTCTGTCTTGCCATATCTTTTTCACCAAAAAGGTTTGATGTTCGTCCCCACAACGATATTACCTGCTCCCTTCTTAGTTTAAATGGGTGTTCCCCTGTTTCTACTGGTGCGTCTAGTGTCGTACCTGTTGCTGCACCTGTGGCTAGCATTACGGCTTTGTATTATATTTTGTTGAGGTGGCTCAAGATACTGTTTGATGCTGAGTAAAAAGCCTCACAACCAGAGTGTAGTTTGTATCTGATTAGTGATTTGTAGGGGGGCAGCTGAGTGTCCTCAGAGGTACGCCCAAGATGTGCCTGAATTGCCCACAATACATTCAGGTCATTATGACATCTTTTTTCACATATTCTATATGTTTGTTCCAAGAAAGGAGTTGATCTAGGATCACCTCTAAAAGTTTTGCGGATTTTTCAAATTTGATTGGTTTGCCTTTCATGGAGAGACAGGGTATCATAGCATCTTTCCCCCTGCATTTTGGATCGAACTCCCACAGTTTTTTCACTTGAAAGGGTGATCCCCATTTATTGCACACTCGTCTACTCCATCCTGGAGTTGTTGTTTTTTTTACAGATATTTGTGAAATAACGAAAAATAGTTATCATTGTTAATAATTCTAAAAATACTACTTCTATTACATCTCTGCCATAAATTCTGTATTTTGGCAATGTTCACACTAACTAACATTTTCAGATTTTCAACAGATGTCCTCTTCACTGTCATTTACACACACAACTAGTTGTTGCCAAGTAGCATTGTAACTACCCAAGCTATGACGTAAGGTGCATCTAATCCAGCATACACCTAATAGACAGAATAATCAAGGGTGTACTCATTCTCTGAGGCTGCTTGTGTCGGTAAAGTTCCATTAAAAGTGCCAATAGTACAACAGATAAATTTCACTTGGGGAAGATACGAGGTGTATAAACATCTTCTAGTAGAAAGGATCTCATTAGTCTGTTTAGAATGGGACGGTTTCCGATTGAGAGTCTGTCATGTTGTAGTACAGAGTGAAGAGCTGATCAATAACCTTCTATCGTCCCATGTCGGAACTTTTTTTCCTGACGTAGATGTAGTTGAAAAAAATGGCTATTAGGGATGGATATTGTATCAGTTACAATGCCTTGTCATCTTCTCCACTGGATGAACTTATCCCATCAGTTGTGATATATATGGGAGGATGAAGGTCTCCATGAACTTGCCACAGTTTCCAAAGCAAGATCAGAGTACCCTGATATCTGCATTTTGCGTGATAACTTCCAGGCGACGGAGAGGTAACTGGCGAGGTTCTTCCATCAGTAGACTTAATAATCTGGGGAACCCCGTTCTGCTGGTCTATTCGTCTCCTCCACCTTGTGGATGACCTTGTCTAAGAGAGACCATGGTGGGAATGTGTATGCAAATAGATCCGTCCAATCCATCAATAGCACATCGATCTGGTGAGCCATTGGACAGGAACTGGGCTGACATAAACTGGAGTTGATGTTTCTTGTAGGTGACAAAGAGATCTAGGTGCGGTGTGTCCCATAACGTGGTTATCCAAGCAAAAATCTGGGGATGTAAGAACCATTCTGTTGCCACTATTCTCCCATGGTGGGAAAGCTGTCGGCAAGGATGTTCAGTTTCCCGGGAATATGTCTGGCTTCCATCTGACAACTGATGGAGTCAGCTCGACCACTTCAGTTGATTCTCCGCTCGTGTCGGGACATGACGAAATGTGAAAACTGTGTTGTCAGCGAACCAATGCCAAATCCCTGGTAGACACCCATTCAGTATTGAGGAGCAGTTGTGGGAAGAATTCAACAATGTATTGCTTACGACTGGTTGAATATAAACAATTACTTGGTCTGAAAGATTGTACCGTACGAATTGTTTCCATCTCTTGGGTTTCTCATAAGCATTCCCACTGTTATATCGGGGGATGATGATGCGTGGTGTCTCGTTCACTGTGTGTGTAGGCATCGGATGTCTGCTGTAGTTGTGAGTCGGGGTCTGGTCGAGTGGTTCCAATGTTACGCATAAGCGATCATGCAAGTCAGTCTGTACAAATATACAGCACGGATCCCACTAAGTCAGTTGACCTGATTACGGTAAAAATGTTTACAGTCAGTCTAGACACGTGACATGTAATTCTTCCCCCTCAGTAAACTGTAATCCTGTATGTTGTGTTGAATAGTTTCAAGCTCTACACACGGCAGACCAGTGAAGTTTCCGAGTTCTGAGTAGGAACTGTGATGTTGCCGGTATAAGAGCAAGTTGATCCCCATGAAAAAAGTTACGACTGGTTCAGTGTTGTGAACTTAGACCCAGTTGAGGGTCTTTAGGTCGATTCTCATTCTCATGCCGGTTGTATTCTTCTTCGGAACTATGAATACTGGAGAATAAAACCTTGGTGTTATTGGTCTCTGCTAGTCTCCGAATGGCTTGCTTCTTTAGTAGCTTCCTGACAGCCAGATCTGCTGCCTCTAGCTTGGCTCTAACTAGATGAAATCTGCATCCAACAGCTTGAGATTTCAAGATAGGATGTTTCTTGAAATGCAGTTGATTCCTGAAAAGTTTAAACACTTGTCGTATCCCCGCCTCGGTTGGTACGATTCCTGCTCGGTTGTGGGGGGGACAAACTTCTTCTTTGGAGGCTTGTTTATATGACGAGTCCTGATCCCCAGTACGTTTTGGGGGGGGGGGGGAAGATCCGTGTGTCTTGACACCTAGACCGATGGTTGTTGCTTGGAATCATTCCTTGTATCTTGTCTCACTTTGCCTATGATATGTCCCAATTTGCCGTTGAATGTCTTGGGAGCAGAAATTGTGACATTATCAACCTCTTGTTAAGACATCCAGACTTGGGAATAATCGGGTCTGGACCAGACAATCCAGTGATTGATGTCACGAGCATCAGGCTTGGGTCGCAAGTGGCTTACTAGCTTCATAAAGTCTTCGTCCAAACTTAAAGGGAGCATCATGTATTCTATACTGAACAACAAAAGTTCCTGTGACATTGATTAAGATTTAATGCAAAGTTATGTTTTTCACCAAATCTGAAACAATTTCGGTTTGCAACGGATAAAAGACTCCTGTAAGTGTTCAAATGGTTTAACTTGCCATACTGACTTCAGAAAATGTGTAATTTCATAATAAACATGAACATGCCAAAATGTCAATTTACAAATCAATAGCGTGTGTGTCCACCTCTGGTTGCGATGCAAGCAACACATCTTTGTCTCATGGAATGGACCAGGCGTCGTACAAAGTCCTGTGGGATATCTGTCCATATCTGCTGGAGCATGTTTCGAAGTTCCTGGAGTGTCTGTGGAACCATGGTTGACGTCGAAGGCACCGATCCATCTCATCCCACATGTGCTCAACTGGTGAGAGATCAGGGGAGCGAGCCGGCCAGGGGATGACATTCACGTTGTTTTGTTGAAGAGAATCCTGAACAAGTCGAGCAATATCAGGCCGGGCGTTGTCATGTTGAAAGGTAATGCCTGGGCCATGATGACGCAAAAACGGTAGAACAACAGGGCCGATGATCTTGTTGCGGTAGTGCTGTCCATTGAGATTTCCCTCTACCACTATCAAACGGGTCCTCTGTCTTGCTGTAATCCCACCCCATACCATAACGCTGCCGCCCTTGAACCGATCTTCTTCCATGACACAATGATTGACGTAACGTTCACCTCGACTTCGGTACACTCGAATCTGTCCATCGCTGTGGCTGAGGTGAAAATGAGACTCGTCAGTGAATAGAACTTGTCTCCACTGCATGGCCGTCCAGCATAGACACTGTCTGCACCAGTGTAGACATGCTTAACGGTGGTTTCCTGTCAAAATGGGAGGTCTGGCAGGTCTTCTGGCGACAGTCCCTGCACATCTGGGGCGAGGACGTACGGTTTGTAAAGATATTCGTCGAAGGCCAGGGATGCTTCTTGCAGTCACTGTTGCTGGCTGGAATGGATTTCATAGGTGTGTGGTCGAATCCAGTTGTCTTAACGATTATTGGCTACGCGTGGCCTGCCACTCCGAGGATGGTCTCTGACTGCATTCGTCTGTTGCCAACGTTGCCATAAACACCAAATGGTCTTGCAACATCACATTGACTTGATCCTGCTTCAAGCATACCAATGGCTCGCAGACGCTCATTTTCGGACAGGCGTGGCATTTTGTAATGTTGAATAATTGCGTAATTTGGTTGTTTTTCTGAGTGGTTGTTGTCAGCACGATGCTAAACAATGTATATGGAATCCCGTTAACACACGTTTTTATACCCATCCCCCGCCGTGATATTGCTGGACTATGGCTAAAAGCGGCGTAAAATTAAACTCACTCACTCACTCTTTGACTGTTTTGGCATTGGCTAACATGAAATTTTTTTACAGGTTTATGCTTACTACCCCTGATTGCTTGTACTTGTTGACCAATAATTTTATGGATTAACATATATGTGAAAGTTATTTATAAATATTTGGAACCTTAAGATGTGTATCCTTTGACACTACCTAGGTGGCAGGTGACATCTATTGTTTTCGATGATTAAACCTATGTACTTAGGGTGCTGTCTCGACTTAGTGAATATAGAGGTACAGGTAAGTGGTTTATACAGTTGGAGTTTGGGGATTAAAGTTTGTTTACATGGATACTTACATACCATTTAGATGGCATTTAGATTAAACATTGTTAAAAATAGGATAATTATTGAGTGTTTTGGTTTGAATGACAAGCAATTTATGGCTTAATACATATCTTATTTAGAAAATTGCAGTGATATTTTGATTTAATACTTTTTGTATTATGCATAAAGTATATTTAATGAATAACTACCCTTTAGGTTAGGTCAGCTTTTCTAACAGTGATTCTAAATTTAAGTCTATAGCATCATTGCACAACTTAAGTTCACATCTAATGCCCATGATAATTGGAACCACCTTAGGCTCAGACAGCTTCTGATCAGAACGTGTTTACAAAGTGCAAACTGAATTGTTTGAAAAGTGGTCAAAGTGCAAAGGTATGTGGAAGAAACCAACTCACCATATATGTTGACAACAATGCTTAAATGATGATAAAAAATGGATTTTCCATAGTGGAAAAGCAGCAATACACACTTGTCACCACTCGCATGTTTCCGTAACCTACAACAAAGCTTGTCCCCCTCTTGAAGGCCGCCATGATCAAAACAGCACATGCCAATTAGAAGGCGTGTCAGGATATGGGTACTATGAACACGTGTGGTTGTTTACATTCAAGAAACGTCTCCTTTGACTTCGACATCCGTTCATTTGAGCCATCACCTGTCTTGGCTTTCCAAAACTACATTCAGTGTAATATCCATTTTGAAGGTACACCAAGAGATTAACAATGTATTAAAGTGATTAACTAATCACCTCTTTTTTGAATGACTTGCCAAATATCTTTTTGTACAAAAGAATATATTAGTATTTTTATCAGAGAGGTTCAATACTTTTACAACAGGAATAAGCCAGATGTCAATTTTACTAGAAAAAGGGGGTAGAATAAAAGTAATCGTTCTTGTTTGAAGTAGTTCTCGTACGCCAATATGGAAACCTTCGAGAGGGGCATGAGTCTACATTCGGCTTGTCCCGGAATGGGACAAGTTGGTTGCGAATGAAGGCCACACACTAACTTGGGCTTTGTCCAGGTAATCTCGAAATGAATAATTAACAAGGAACAAGAACAACATGAGCAGGCTGACTGTTTGGGTTGAATCATTATCTGCCCATAATGTTACAGTTCTGGACTGTTCATCTTGGAATGTGAAAATATGACATTACCTTGGAGAGAGACTTTGATTTTTGCAGTTGCTCCTTATATCTCTCCACCTCCTCCAGGGCCCTGTTGAGACGCACCTCTGTAGCACTGTGACTACTGGCTGCCTGCTTCTGACTGCGCTTCAGCTGTTCAACTTCCTGTCAAACAAAACTTCTTAACTTGATTTAAGAATTAACTTTAGCTTTGTGTGAGCTGATTGGCTAAACTGTACTTGGAGCTTGTTCGGCCATCACTCGATGAAGGTTCATACTCCAATGTTTCAATGAACAGTGAAAATCGATTCTTATAATTTTCATATCACTATTTTATACCGTTTCATCATGTAACACGGAATATAACTGTTCATCAGAAGGAGGGGTCACCCAACCAGCCTGACAGCCATACAACCACCAGCTGTATCACGGAATATAACTGTTCATCAGAAGGAGGGGTCACCCAACCAGCCTGACAGCCATACAACCACCAGCTGTATCATGGAATATAACTGTTCATCAAAAGGAGGGGTCACCCAACCAATCTGACAGCCATACAACCACCAGCTGTATCATGGAATATAACTGTTCATCAAAAGGAGGGGTCACCCAACCAGCCTGACAGCCATACAACCACCAGCTGTATCATGAAATATAACTGTTCATCAAAAGGAGGGGTCACCCAACCAATCTGACAGCCATACAACCACCAGCTGTATCATGGAATATAACTGCTCATCAAAAGGAGGGGTCACCCAACCAGCCTGACAGCCATACAACCTCCAGCTGTATCATGGAATATAACTGTTCATCAAAAGGAGGGGTCACCCAACCAGCCTGACGGCCATACAACCACCAGCTGTATCACGGAATATAACTGTTCATCAAAAGGAGAGGTCACCCAACCAGCCTGACGGCCATACAACCACCAGCTGTATCATGGAATATAACTGTTCATCAAAAGGAGGGGTCACCCAGCCAGTCTGACAGCCATACAACCACCAGCTGTATCACGGAATATAACTGTTCATCAAAAGGAGAGGTCATCCGACCAAGATTTATGTTGTTTAACAATTCCTAGGTCAGTGAAGGGAGCTCTCAGGTAGACTAGTAGCATTTTGAAAATGCACTGTACAAGCTTCGCTTTACAACTTGGTACCAGTCTTTAGATTAATTTATGGGATAGATTGAGTCACTTTGCATCGGAAATTAATGTTAAATATAAATTGCTGAAGAAAGATCAAGGTGACCTGGGTTTTTTAAGAGTGTGGAAAGAATTATTTGTTTTTATTACCCACGTGGTGAAGATACAGGTGGTAAGTTACTAAATCCATACGTCACACGTGTGTTGTACAAGGTTGACCTTATTTTTTTTCGCTTTGACTGGATAACTGTGACCTCTGTCACACCGGGGCTACTTTTTTACATTCATAAAAATTGCGAGACGTCATTCATTTTGTAACTACAAGGCAAAAACTGAAGCAATCTCATGAGAGCGAGAGATGTTTACAAACACTTTATCAAACCAAACAAGATAGTCACACACATCAAATTTGGTTGGCATTCTATATAAGTTATGCATGTAGAGCTTCTACAGACATTATATAATCACGCTATATCCATTTACAACGTACGACTACCGATCAATAGATCGAGGGTCCCCATGAGCGTGACGCACCCGGCCACTTTCAATTTGATTTAACGTAAAAGGATGAGCATGGTGGAATGAAGTTAGTTTAAACTATCTGGACAGATATCTAGACTTACTTCTATCTCAGTGGGTTTGCACTATAAATCAGCATCAGTCTTGACGCCTGCCCACATTCATGCACGCAAGGAATAATATATAATTAAAATAATAATAACAATAAGCATAGCATGCTGGTACAGCTGATTGCTATCATGGTAATAGTGGTTCAAAGTCATTAAGCCATGCATTATGCTCAGTCCCTCCACACAGCTGTGAAAAACAAAGTGTGCAATACTCAGGAAAATATGGTGGTCAAGATGTTCAATGTGTCTAAACCTGCGATTTGCAGACACTGGAACAGGCCACAGTAGTTCAAAAACACAAATCCAGGATCAATAAATCAGAAACAACACTTTAAGAAATTGAGCCCATACAGCCAATCAAATTGCTGTTTATGTAAGGAAGTGAAATAAGGTAATTTTTGTGGTCAAAGGGAAGTAACTCTTTGGGTGGGTGCGCTACCACCCAAAGGTCAACTGACCAATCAGAATTGGCTGTTTACTTTGGGCTGTATGCCGTTGGAAAATCTGTAGGTTGTATTTTCCATTTATCGAGCCAAGCAGAAACCTCGTGGTTAGCGTGAGACATTCCGTCATTGACAGATTGTGTTTCACAGGCTTTTTGACTAATAATGTTTATGGGAATAGGATTCTAATAGATTTGGTTCAGTAATAGAATAGTTGTTTTGATCTTATAACATTAAATATTCGCCAACTCTGTTTAAAATCTGGTTGTCACCTATTTTCGGAGGTCACGTGACCACATTAGCTAGATTCAGGGGAAGTAACCCTCATCTAGTTACGTTCCTGAAAGCACATGTCTTAGTCATTAAGGAACATGTTTGTTATTGTTTTAATTTTGAATTATGACCGTTCAATGTAATCGTTTCCATTGGTTTCAGTTAGTATCTACTGCTGTATTATATATGTAATAAGTTGGCATTGTTGAACTATTATTCTATTTACATGTAATAGACTTGAATGTCCAAATATGTGAATATCCAAGTATCACTGATAGGTCAAATTATGCATATTGTTGCATTAAATATACAATCCGGAACTAATTATTTCCATTATGATAATCATTTTTATTTGCTAAAACTTGTCATAGAAATATTAATATTTGTGTAATATGTATGAAGGCTGTTTATGCATGTAGTATTCTAAAATCTGTATTCCTGTTACAGGTGTGTATTATGATTATTGTTACATTGAAGTTCACAAGTTGCTTTAAGTATGTATACCCGGTAAGTCATTATGTTTCCTGGAAAAGTGTCACTAGGTAAACTATTTCTGATATGTGTTCAGATGCATTCCATTGCACATTGTGGTTGAGACTTGGGGCTGTATGCCGTTGGAAAATAAATGGGGACCTGACATCTCTCTCTGTTTTAGGGGTATATTGTTGTGTGGCTAACATTTACTTCTGACAGGCCATCAGAATTAGAAATCATCTGCAAGCAGTTGTCCTGCATATTGTCCATGCTGGTCCACATTCAAGACAAAATGCTGTGACCCACTGTGACAGTACCGTAACTGACTACCTCCCGCAACAACACATGACCAGAATGCAATGACCAGCCATGATTCCTGACCTTGTCACTTCAGCATGTCTGGGACATGACGGGAAGACATGTAGTGGACATGATAGGCCACCTGCTACATCAGCTGAATGAGGCCAGGTGCTGCAAGAGGAATGAACAAGACTCCCTCAAACTGCCATCGGGTGTTTATACAGAGTGGCATGGGCCAGATCACACAGTATATGGTCTGTTACTGTACACATACATCCCAGTAAATACTTCATTAAAATATACGGCAACAGCTGCAAAGAGAAGAGTTTTAAAACATCGTCCATCAACCATCATTTTGGCACACAATTATTTTCCATTAAACACATATCATGCAATGAAAGTTGGTTAATAATAATCACTGACCTAAATACCAGTTTTGTAACATTTCATGTCTGAATAAAAATATCTTCGTCATTGTTATCATGCTAGTTTGAAATGGACATATATCCCTTTGCTTTGTTTAAAGCTGGAAAACCTCATATCTTAAAAAAAGAACAGCCTTACTGGCAACCTCTTGGTGGCAGCCAATCAGAATTTAGTTTCAATACTTGCCTAGTTGTCTCGAGTTGGATGCTGTCAGTCACTGTCAACAATCAGTTTCACCACATTTTGTAAAGTCATCGTCATATTATGTATTAAGTAATCTTTCAACCTCATTCAACTAAGAGTGAGTGAGTGAGTGAGTTGGGTTTAATGCTGCTTTTAACAGTATTACAGTTATATCACAGCGTGTCAGCTGAATGTGGGAGGAAAGCCCCAAGTAATGCAGGTCTCAGACATTTACCACTTCGGTGAAACCCACGAGCACTTAAAAAAAGAGGGCAGAGGTACATCTGTAGATGTTTGAATTGTTCTTGTTCTGTTTTGTAGTTAAAATAACGGGCCTAGTATAGACGTCGTTGACACTTTACTGAGTCTGTGAGTTCCATAATCATGTAAACAGTTATAATATCATATCACAGTTGCCTAATCAATCTTTTATCTGCAAAAATAATAAATATTAGACATTATCGCTTAATTAGATTACCAACTGCATAGAGAGTAGATAAAAACCTAAAACATGGTTTAAACAGGATTAGAGCAGCAAGATATAGTTTCTAAATTAAAAATTAAACTTATTACAAAATCCAACATGAATTAATATTTGATTGAAATGACCCCCTACAAAAGAGCTATGACTCCCTGTATATCTAATGAGTCATAATCAACCCCGATTTCCAGATGCGAGGGCAAATCCTGCCTTGGTAGAGATATTATATCACTCTAAAATGCCATGAAGTCAACAACACCACCAACAATGAATAGCATCACCACAATGGCATACCTCCACAATACACCCAGCACAGCCCATGTGCACCCTGAATTCCACCCCTATTAATACCCTGGAAAACCATGCCCAGCAGGAACTTTTGTAAGTCTCTGTCACCTTTTCAACCCAACCCAATGTGTTTCTGTTCAGTTCCGTAACATCTTCGGCATGACAAGGTAAATTTGCACTCACTTTTACAATGTGGATGTAGCTCACTCAGTTAGCTGTTGGGCTAACAATCCAAAGGTCACAAGTTTGTGTCCAATGGATTCTCACAAAAAGTGACATATGACATACAGACAGAGATCGTCCTCATGAGACGTTGTGGTACTGTACTGATCCTGTAAAACACTCCAATGTTCACATAATTATTTTCTGTGATGATTGCCTTTTTCACAAGAGTCAACCAAACCCTATCCAACTGCAGACCTTGTCAAGGAGGCTACATAAAGAACCCTATCATAAAATAAAAAATTAAAATTGGCATTCAGTTGCAAGATTATATAATAAGTAGTGACAATGACCTTCAAAATCAAGCAATCATTTGGCAGAATGATCCACTAAACACAGACAGGGTTTATTTTAAGTATGTAATTACTTTCAAATGCAGTAAGCATGTGGTAGACAACGTTGGCCATGTAAGCTATCAAAAGCAATCCATTTCTGATAACTTTAAACTTAATTCCTATAAAAGCAAGGTCGAATAAGCATCTTCTGAATAAATGCTTAAAACCATAAATGTATGCATATTCCTGTTAGCAACACTGAAAATTGACAGTAAAAGAACAAATAACATGGATTGAAAATGGCTACAAACATGAAGTCTGTGCCATGGCTGTGACATAGTGATTTTGTGGCTATATACAAATATGTCATCTGAACCTGGACAACAATTAATCATGTCAAGGCTAAAGGCCAATGGTTTCATTTCTGTAGGTGTGATAATAAGATGAGAGAAAAGTAATTCTTATCACAATGAATCCTACTCATGATCATATTTCTTAATTGCAAGATTTATAAAATCGTTATACCTTCCTCACTGTACTCAGTTGATTCTCCGCACTGTCAGATTTTGTTCGGGCATCTTCCGCCACTTTCTTGTACTTGTCAATCTGTGTCTGTTGTGTGGCAACCGTCCTCATGTGTCGCCCACGGTCCTCCTCCACTTCCCGCACATGGCTACTCAGCTGTCTCAACTCTTCATCCTGAATCACATACACACATGGCTACTCAGCTGGCTCAACTCTTCATCCTGCATCACATACACACATGGCTACTCAGCTGTCTCAACTCTTCATCCTGAATCACACACACACATGGCTACTCAGCTGTCTCAACTCTTCATCCTGAATCACATACACACATGGCTACTCAGCTGTCTCAACTCTTCATCCTGAATCACATACACACATGGCTACTCAGCTGTCTCAACTCTTCATCCTGCATCACATACACACATGGCTACTAAGCTGTCTCAACTCTTCATCCTGAATCACATACACACATGGCTACTCAGCTGTCTCAACTCTTCATCCTGAATCACATACACACATGGCTACTCAGCTGTCTCAACTCTTCATCCTGCATCACATACACACATGGCTACTAAGCTGTCTCAACTCTTCATCCTGAATCACATACACACATGGCTACTCAGCTGTCTCAACTCTTCATCCTGAATCACATACACACATGGCTACTCAGCTGTCTCAACTCTTCATCCTGCATCACACACACACTCAGCTGTCTCAACTCTTCATCCTGAATCACACATACACATGGCTACTCAGCTGTCTCAACTCTTCATCCTGAATCACATACACACATGGCTACTCAGCTGTCTCAACTCTTCATCCTGCATCACACACACACTCAGTTGGCTCAACTCTTCATCCTGCATCACACACACACATGGCTGCTCAGCTGTCTCAACTCTTCATCCTGAATCACACACACACATGGCTACTCAGCTGTCTCAACTCTTCATCCTGAATCACATACACACATGGCTACTCAGCTGTCTCAACTCTTCATCCTGAATCACATACACACATGGCTACTCAGCTGTCTCAACTCTTCATCCTGAATTACACACACACACATGGCTGCTCAGCCGTCTCAACTCTTCATCCTGAATCACATACACACATCGCTACTCAGCTGTCTCAACTCTTCATCCTGAATCACATACACACATGGCTACTCAGCTGTCTCAACTCTTCATCCTGCACCACATACACACATGGCTACTCAGCTGTCTCAACTCTTCATCCTGCATCACACACACACATGGCTACTCAGCTGTCTCAACTCTTCATCCTGCATCACACACACACTCAGTTGGCTCAACTCTTCATCCTGCATCACACACACACATGGCTACTCATCTGTCTCAACTCTTCATCCTGAATCACACACACACATGGCTACTCAGCTGTCTCAACTCTTCATCCTGAATCACATACACACATGGCTACTCAGCTGTCTCAACTCTTCATCCTGAATCACATACACACATGGCTACTCAGCTGTCTCAACTCTTCATCCTGAATTACACACACACACATGGCTGCTCAGCCGTCTCAACTCTTCATCCTGAATCACATACACACATCGCTACTCAGCTGTCTCAACTCTTCATCCTGAATCACATACACACATGGCTACTCAGCTGTCTCAACTCTTCATCCTGCATCACATACACACATGGCTACTCAGCTGTCTCAACTCTTCATCCTGCATCACATACACACATGGCTACTCAGCTGTCTCAACTCTTCATCCTGCATGATATACACACATGGCTACTCAGCTGTCTCAACTCTTCATCCTGAATCACACACACACATGGCTACTCAGCTGTCTCAACTCTTCATCCTGAATCACATACATACATGGCTACTCAGCTGTCTCAACTCTTCATCCTGAATCACATACATACATGGCTACTCAGCTGGCTCAACTCTTCATCCTGCACCACATACACACATGGCTACTCAGCTGTCTCAACTCTTCATCCTGAATCACATACACACATGGCTACTCAGCTGTCTCAACTCTTCATCCTGCACCACATACACACATGGCTACTAAGCTGTCTCAACTCTTCATCCTGAATCACATACACACATGGCTACTCAGCTGTCTCAACTCTTCATCCTGAATCACATACACACATGGCTACTCAGCTGGCTCAACTCTTCATCCTGGATCACATACACACATGGCTACTCAGCTGGCTCAACTCTTCATCCTGCACCACATACACACATGGCTACTCAGCTGTCTCAACTCTTCATCACATACACACATGGCTACTCAGCGGTCTCAACTCTTCATCCTGGATCACATACACACATGGCTACTCAGCTGTCTCAACTCTTCATCCTGAATCACATACACACATGACTACTCAGCTGTCTCAACTCTTCATCCTGCATCACATACACACATGACTACTCAGCTGTCTCAACTCTTCATCCTGAATCACATACACACATGGCTACTCAGCGGTCTCAACTCTTCATCCTGCATCACATACACACATGACTACTCAGCTGTCTCAACTCTTCATCCTGGATCACATACACACATGACTACTCAGCTGTCTCAACTCTTCATCCTGAATCACATACACACATGACTACTCAGCTGTCTCAACTCTTCATCCTGCATCACATACACACATGACTACTCAGCTGTCTCAACTCTTCATCCTGCACCACATACACACATGGCTACTCAGCTGTCTCAACTCTTTATCCTGCATCACATACACACATGGCTACTCAGCTGGCTCATGGAATTACTTTCACTTCACCAGCTGAGAACATAACCTAGGGTCATCAGGAGATGACCCATCCCCCTGGTTTTGTGCAATTAGGGAATGGAGTTTGGCTACTTATACCTAACTTTTGGTTCATTGAATGTCTTCAGTTTAGCTCAGTATTTTTCAAAATCCCAAATCATCAAAATGCACCAGTTTACCACTAGACTGATCTGTTTAGCAAGTTTCATCTCGAAATATTCAATGGTTTTGGAGTTCTGCTCCAGAAACAAGCACTACTTACATGTTCAGTAAAGTCCATCTTATCGCCATGAAAACATCAAAAAAAAATTATAATAGAAATCCCACATCATCAAAAGGCACTATTTCACCACTAGACTAACTTTTTTTCGCAAATTTCCACAAGAACTATTTAACAGTTTTGGAGTTCTGCTCCGGAAACAGAAAACAGATGGACAGACAAACTGTTTGCTACATCCCCCAATTTTTCAAACTTAGGGGATTAAAAAGGACTATTTTGTCTTGCTTGAAAATGGTATGAGGATCTATAACGAAACGTCGCCTTTACACTAATTAAAGAAATTGTTATCCATTAATTGTGTCTACTTTGACTTTTTTCTGATCAAATGCTTCACTGTCATGTTCAGAAATCCTGAAATAATATATTCTGTACAGATAATTTCAATTATTTTCATGTTATATTCTGATTCTTCAAGTCAAAGATTTCACAACACAATAATCATAAATGTTCTCTCTTACTGGTATGTTATGAACTAAATATTGAGTGTAACAAATATGAAGTTATTTGACTGCTGAGACTATTGTACAACCATTAGATCAAATATATATAACATATATACTAGCCACATAAAGAAACTGTGCACGGAGAAAATATATTCTGGATTGAAATACAACACAGCAAGAACAAAATGATGCAGACGCTGTAGCAGCTGAATGATCGGACCATAAGAAAATGCCAACGGGACCTGAACAACATTTGTTACGATGACGTCAGAAGATCAAAATGGAGTAGGGGGTCAAACGACAAAGTCACAAAGTCAATAACAGAGTCCACCAAATGGGCAAGGAAGGCCTGGGGAATGGCCTGCCATATCCTCCTCAAATCCTGTGCCAAGTCACGGACGTTATCTGGAGGATGTGGAAGATGACGCGGACGTCACTCCATTTCATCCCACACATGCTCTATTGGGGAGAGATCTGGAGAAATTGCAGGCCATGGCAGTAACATGACATTGTTATGGTGAAGGAAATCCATTGCGACCCTAGCCGTGTGAGGACGAGCGTTGTCCTGTTCAAATGTCAATCCCGGGCCATGACGTTGCAGGATAGGAATGACCACAGGCCTCAGAATCTGATCTCTGTAGCCAACACCGGTGAGATTGCCCTGAACAACCACCAAAGGGGTTCGGTGCCGTGCTGTTATCCCACCCCAAATCATCACAGAGCCACCTCCAAAACGATTCCTCTCCACAATACAGTTGCGTGCATAACGTTCTCCCAAACGCCGGTAGACACGTTGGCGCCCGTCACTGTGGGAAATGTTGAACCTCGATTCATCTGTAAAGACAACATTTCTCCACCATATTCGAGGTTGGTGAACATGATTTCAACACCATCTTAGACGGTTGACTCGATAAGGTGTGTCAGGATGGGACGTATGGCAGGGCGTCGTGGTCGAATGCCGTACTGACGTAAGCGATTCCTGACAGTGTTGGGATGGATACGGCGCAGTCCAGGAATTGTCTGGGATGTCGTTACTGCCGTTTAGAACCTGTGTTGGATATGTGTAACTCAAATCCATCTGTCCTGTCTTGGTGTCGTTACTCGGGGACGTCCTGAACGTGGGTGGTCGGCAACGTCATTTGTGTTCTGATAACGCCTCACCAATGCCGATATCGTGTTACGATGGCATAGGAAATGTGTTGCCACCTGTTGTTGCCTCATTCCCGCTCGCATCATTCCAATGGCTTCATGACGCTGTGCAGCTGTCAATCTTGGCATGATTTGCTTGTCATATGCTTGTGTCTGCGCCTGAGAAGTTTTGAATTTTTGAATGACCACAGATCATGCTTTTCAAAGTGACAGCGAATTTTGAGTTGCACATGCTGTGTACAGCTGCACAGGATACACGTGCAGTAACACATTGCACGTCCATAGGCCCCCATCAATGACGTCATATCGCATGGCACATGCATGAGCGTTTGAATGTCTCCAATAATTGCTGTGTTCAAACCTATCTTTCATATATGGACGGTGTGCCCTTATATCTATATTTTCTCCGTGCACAGTTTCTTTATGTGGCTAGTATAGTTTTCACTGAGTTGTTATTTCCTGATTTCTGTCCTTTACATTTACAATGTAACAAACTGAATCAATGCCTTTAAATCATTTTGTTATCAAACATGATGACAACAGTTCTTAACAGTGACTTTGGCTGTTAAAGAATTGTGTGCGAGAACTGGAGTAGGAAAGCAATATTAAGTAGAAAATTACATCACTTTACACACCACTTCAAGGTCAATACATTTTTCAAAGGATGACATCCTGAATTCCTTGAAGTCCACATGATCAGAGAGGTTAACCTTATCCAAGGTTGACACCTCATCCAGATGACCAGAGAGGTTAATCCTGCTGTGACACCTACCTTGTTTCGTGTCTCTTGCGACAGTCGGTCCAGTTCCTCTTGCATTACCCTCAGCTTGGCTTTCAGGAAGCGGATCGTGGCTTCTGTATCACAAGTAGCAATTCAGAAGCAGCATACAGCAATTTGAAATAACAACAGATGCTCATTTTATTAGATTTTATAAAAACAGAAAACTTTAGAAGTGAAGATAACATTAAAGCATTCACTCTTCACGCAAAAGGCCAAGGTTTTCAATTCCCCACATGGATGAAGTCAATTTCTGGTGTCCTCCGACGTGATATTGCTGGAGTATTGCTAAAAGCGGCATAAAACTCTACTCACTTAATCAATCACTCAAAACCTTATTACCCAACACTTGTATACAATGTTTCATTGATTTTTCATTAGAAATTTCAACTTTTAAAACATTGTCAACAATTCACAGAATAAAACCTCTATTACATCAGTAGTTCTGTAGTTCGGTTCAGACCATATAGTCTATAGATTTTTCAACAGATGTGCTCTTCACTGTCAACTAACCATAATAAGTTGTGCATATAATAGTATTTTGCCTCATAATTCTTTTGTGCACGTGCTAAATGGGAAAACCTCACTGATGTGTACGTGAAGGAAATGAAAGTAATCACACAACCAAGTGAGTGAATTCTAGATTTATTCCAGAGCCAACTGAATCCTTACAAAACCCCTATAGGTTTATGAAACGGAGAATGCACATAAATGGAATGCGATTTTACATTATATTTAGAACACCACACTCCATCTTCCCAACACCAGTCATCCTGGGTGCACAGTATTGAGGAGTTGGGAGGAATTACTCCTGATGTATTGGAGGTGGTATTGTTTTAATCATTGACAATGATAACTATTGTTTGATGATTCTTACGAATATATAAACCCCTATAACATAAGTGCCAGAATATAGCCGATGCAAAATGTTGGTTCTGACATCTGACACCCTGTGTTACGTTCCCCAAAGCAATCATAGCGCTAAGACCAACGATAACTCCTATTCTTTAACATAGACTGACGACTGTCGTAGCGCTTAGATCGGTTTTTTAAATGGGGCCTCATCCATCAATTTTGGTGTCCCCTCTTACATTCAATCCAGCATCTTGGGGGTGCCTAACTGTTCCAAACAACATCCTTGGTCATTTTGACTAACACAGGAGCACATAACATGAAACCACCTCATCAGGCCTGTTTTCACAATAATGCCAAGGAGGTATGCAATAATGTGATCAATTTCCATAACTATATTTGTGTCCAAATAACACAGTCTGTGACATCATCACTACTTAAAAAGACTTGGGTGAGCGAGTTTGGTTCAACACTGCTTTTAACAGTGATGTAGGTCTCAGACATTTTGGTTAAACTTATGTGCACAGGAATGGTGTTAACAAATCTAGAAACATAATCAGGGCGAACTGGGATTCAAGCCCGCAATCACAGGTTTCTTGGGTACCCAAGGGATGGACCTTTGCACAGTGAACTGCAGTGTCTAAGACAACTAGACCCCCCTGCGCCCTCCTTAAAAGGACTTACATCCATATGACCCTCCCAGTTGAGATGTTCATGATGTCACTTCCAGTTCTAATCCATTCCTGCTTTTAACTTATGACCTGCCTGATCCCTACCTGTAGCTGCAGAAAATTACACCCCTCTGAGCCCTCTCCCCTTTTCCCAGTCCAGTTGGGGGGAACTATTGGGTGACGATGGCTTGCAAAAGTTAACGCAAGTATATGTCCCTGTGTCTGCAGCAGTACACTGCAACATTCAAGTCACAAACCTGTCCCCATGTCTGCAGCAGTATGTGGTAAGATGTCATTATCAGGATCATCATCTTCTGTAAGTGTTTGCTCCATCTGGTGTATCCGTTTGGTGAGAGACAGGTCCACAAAGTCGGTTAAGAAAGCACTTTCATCCATGGTGTTTGTTTTGCAGGATTCCTTTGGCTTTGATCTGAATCAGAGTAAAAGTAGTATATCTGAACACTACCATGGGAAACACAATCAATTTGCTGTGTCTGGCTGAACACTGCCATGGGAAACACCATCAGTCTGCTGTGTCTGTCTGAACACTACCATGGGAAACACCATCAATATGCTGTGTCTGTCTGTACACTACCATGGGAAACACCATCAGTCTGCTGTGTCTGTCTGAACACTACCATGGGAAACACAATCAATATGCTGTGTCTGTCTGTACACTACCATGGGAAACACCATCAACATGCTGTGTCTGTCTGAACACTACTATGGGAAACACCATCAGTCTCCTGTGTCTGTCTGAACACTACCATGGGAAACACAATCAGTCTGCTGTGTCTGTCTGAACACTACCATGGGAAACACAATCAATTTGCTGTGTCTGTCTGAACACTACCATGGGAGACACCATCAACATGCTGTGTCTGTCTGCACACTACCATGGGAAACACCATCAACAAGCTGTGTCTGTCTGAACACTACCATGGTAAAGACCATCAATTTGCTGTGTCTGTCTGTACACTACCATGGGAAACACCATCAGTATGCTGTGTCTGTCTGTACACTACCATGGGAAACACCATCAGTTTGCTGTGTCTGTCTGAACACTACCATGGGAAACACCATCAATATGCTGTTTCTGCCTGTACGCTACCATGGAAACACCATCAATATGCTGTGTCTGTCTGTACGCTACCATGGAAACACCATCAGTCTGCTGTCTCTGTCTGTACAATACCATGGGAAACACCATGAACATGCTGTGTCTGTCTGAACACTACCATGGGAAACACCATCAGACTGCTGTGTCTGTCTGAACACTACCATGGGAAACACCATCAGTTTGCTGCATCTGTCTGAACACTACCATGGGAAACACCATGAACATGCTGTGTCTGTCTGAACACTACCAAGGGAAACACCATCAGTTTGCTGTGTCTGTCTGAACACTACCATGGAAACACCGTCATTTCACAAACAAATGGGTTTTTTTGTCTCAAGCTGAAGTTTTTAACATCATAATAGTACTGTGTTAGAATATCAATAATATCTTTCAAACATGAACAGACATGACATAAACAAAACACCAAAACAGAAAGCAGGCCCATCACAATCTTTTCCCGAATGACAAAATTCTATCTCACCAGATACATGTATCCTGGTCATAAAATCAGTGACAAGTGACCAGTATCTACCATTATCATATACTGAGAAGGTTTCGTGGCAGGATAGAACCAACAAATAAAAACACCTTAATGGTATCTGGAAGGGTCATTTACTGATAAATATGCAAATTTTAAAGGTCAGGCAGGTAATAATAATAACAATAATAAATATAGCTGCAAAGCAGCAATGGCGGGCTCCAAGTTATACTGTGCACAAACGTCCATGTTCGAATCCTTAAAGGGTTTCCTTGTACCAAATCCGTGACATGTAGGCACAACTTGCAGGGTATCGTTGAGCACTACGAAATTTGCGTGTGCTAAGTCTGTTCTTAACCCATGTCCGACATCCAAAATGTTCGAATCCTCAAAGGGTTTGTTTGTACCAACTCTGTCAAAAGATAGTCACCGTTTGCAGGACATTGGCGTGTTCCAGGGGTGTCCCAAATTTTAATCAAATATTACCACCAAGTGTTGTTACTTTTTCCATGCACCCAAGAACAGAAAATAAGATGCATATGATACACTAACTTCATGTAAACTTGCAATAGTTTCTGTCAACAAGCTAACAAGATATGATCGTTTAAGTAAAATTTCGGTAATTTTTTATATCAAAATCGAAATCCAATATAACATCAACTAAAACAGATATCCAAAAACGGTTATTAGAGTTTGCTGTGTTGTGAGTGGAGACAATTCTCAGAAAGTTTGGAAGCATTTCATGCAGTGGACTCGGAGTTGTTTGCGTTTGAAGATAGGTACCCAAAAGACACTGTGAAAACCTTAAATCCAATATGGCTGCCAAACCATGTGACCAATGACCAAAGTCAAAGAACAAAAAATGTCAAGCAGCTCAAGCAGCAAGTACATGCAAGTTTTCAAAGTAATCGGATAAGAGGTTGTGGAGAAATAGGGCGAAATACATCTTTAAAAAAGTCTTGTTTTTTAGTTATCTTCCCTTGGTCTTTGGGCTTAGGGCCTTGGGTTTTTGGCGGGCACTAGTACCCAACGGTCTTTATACACATACAAAATTTGAACAAAATTGAGCCAGTGGTTATTTTGCTAGCTCTGGTACAAAAAACGGCGGAATAATAATAATATTAAATCAAACGATAACACTGGGGCTCTTCAGCCTTTCGTGACCTTGGTGACTCTTTAACAGGCTGTAACTTCTTTGTCAGTTGGGCTCCAGTCAAACGGATATAGCGTTCTGCGTTCGTCCGGGCCCCGGGTTCCTGTCGCATTGCTGAGAGTGCTAAACTTGTTTCCGACCTCGTTCATATTCGAATCCTCAAAGAGTTTACCTGTACCAACGCCGTCAAATGTACGGAACCTCTTGTGAGACATCACCACTACTAAATTGACATGTGCCTGGGTGTCCCATGATGTTTAAACCAATTTCCAACTTCGACCATGTTCGAATCCTCAAATGGTTGCTTGTACCAACGCCATCAAATGTAATGAACTGCTTGTGAGACATCACCACACGTGTCCCAGTGTGTTCTTAACCCACGTTTGACTTCGACCATGTTCGAATCCCCAAATGGTTTGGTTGTACCAACGCCGTTAAATGTAATAAACCGCTTGTGAGACATCATGACATGTGTCCCAGTGTATTCTTAACCCATGTTTGACTTCGACCATGTTCGAATCCGTACATGGTTTGCTTGTACCAACTCCGTCAAAAGATAGTCACCGTTCGCAGGACATTGCCGCTACCAAATTGGCGTGTGCCACAGTTTCCCAGAGTGGACTAAATGCCGACCTCCATATTCTAATCCGCAAATGGTTTGCAAATGGTTTGCTTTTAACAACGCTGTCAAAAAAAAGGTACCATAGCAATTGGCAATTGAGAAATGAAGAATCGAGTCTGACCACCCGATCCGATTAGTCGCCTCCTGTGACAAGCATAGTTGCCTCTTAAGACAAGCATCGGTTGAAAAAGGCCAATTCTAAATCTGGTCGTCAAGGGTAGTACACATAATATTGAACAAGGCTGTGGAGAACGCTAGGGTATCTGCAAAGCCAGTGAATGGGGGTTTGTAGAAGATTTATGAGGCGCTTCCTTCAGTATTTGTACTTGGGTGAAAAAAATTATCAAAATCAAAATCCAATATGGCCGCAACTAAAAAAGATATCGAAAAACGGCAACGCTAATTTGTTGTGTTCTGTATGGAGACAATTCTCAGAAAGTTTGAAAGCATTTCATGCAGTGGATTCAGAGGAGATAGTATTTGAAGACAGGTGCCCAAAAAACCCTGTGAAAACATTGAATCCAATATGGCTGCCAAACCACGTGACCAATGACCAAAGTCAAAGAACAAAATATGTCAAGCAGCTCAAGCATCAGATACATGCAAGGTTTCAAAGTAAACGGACAAACGGTTGTGGAGCAACAGGGCAAAATATATCGTCAAAAAATACTTGTTTTTCAGTTATCTGCCCTTGGCCTTTGGGCCTACTGCCTTGGCACTTGGCACTAGTACCCAACGGTCTTCAAACACACACAAAATTTGAACAAAATCGAGCCAGTGGTTATTTTGCTAGGGCAGGTACAAAAATCGGCGGAATAATAAATAATAATAATAAATAATAATAATAATAATAATAAATCGAACGATTACAATAGGGCTCTACAGCCTTTCGGCTTGGAGCCCTAATAATAGGACATTTAATAGGGCATACTCAAAGTGCTATTATTAGCACTCATGGTCATGGTGTGCACTCAATAATCATTCTCAGCTCCCTGAGGAGTAAACAACCCAAGCTGCCTGAGAAGGCGCTAGAGGGTTAACAACCATATGATCCTACCAGGTACCCATACACTGCTGGATGAATAGAGGCACTGTTCAAACAAAGTCAATTGCTCAAGGACACGCGACATGTGCTACATGTGCATCAGTGTGGGGCATGACCGAAGCCCAAGAAACTCTTAAGAGCCAAGCTGAAAAAAACCAGTCACTGACCCAAGGACTCTCCATGACCGACGTTGCTTAACTACACCTGATTTGTGCGCTGTGCACAGGACAACATGCGACCACTATTTTACATACATGGCGTCGTCCTTGTCTTCCGTTGATCGAGTCACAATTGATCATCCAGGTTCAGGACAAATTAATTGGATAATTGCTCTCAAAATTGTTGTCTGAGATACCAAAAATCAGTATCAAACTAGGGCAGAGCTGAGGCCTTTCACAAGTACAGGCAGCTTTGGAAACATATTGTTAGGGAGGACGCTAATGAAATCCATGCTCAATTTCTATATCCATTCTTGTAGACCTACACAGGTTTTGTGTTCTTTTCCAAAAAGCTGGAATTGGCTGAAATATTCATTTTAACATTTTGTCTCTGTGTGGGACTGCATGTCATAATGTCCTGACACGCCAGGCAGACTCTACACGATGTCTTGACAAAGGGTGGACGGTTTGCCGCAAAAGTTTATGACTGACATTGAAATAATAAAGTAATGACCTCATTACTGATCATGAATAAATATGCACTTTTCAGTACAGTCTCAATACAAAAGTAAACAAATTACATTTTACTTTATGCAATAATGGCATGAGTCTAATAGTGTAGCTACAAATCATACAAATGTTTCAGCTTCTTAATAATTTTCACAATCAAATTGTCCAGAACAATTCCATGTCCTAACATGTTGGTCGACCTCCTCGAAAGTTTACATGTCTGCTGCAGAGAAGAATTCCATAATGGTCTGACAATGGACAATGAGCTGTGCCATTTACTCACTTGAGCCTGTATCCATCATACTCTTCAGTTAAACACCAGTTTTTAGTTTTCTTTAAACTCA